TGCTCTGAGCCGCGGGAGAGCAGGCTGCGCCCAGGGATGGAAGGGGACTGCGCCCCGGGGTGAGGCTGCGCCCCAGGATGGAGGGGGACTGCGCCCCGGGATGAGGCTGCGCCCCGGAATGCAGGGGCGACTGCGCCCTGGGATAAGGCTGCGCCTCGCGATGGAGGGGGCACTGCGCTCTGGGATGAGGCTGCGCCCTGGGGTGAGGCTGCGCCCCGGAATGCAGGGGCGACTGCGCTCCGGGATGAGGCTGCGCCTCGCGATGGAGGGGGCACTGCGCCCGGGATGAGCTGCGCCCCAGGAGGAGGCTGCGCCCCACGATGGAGTGGGAATTACGTCCTGGGGTGAGGCTGCGCCCCGCGATGGAGGGGGGACTGCGCCCCGGGATGAGGCCGCGCCCCGGGAAGCGGAGGTTGCGCCCCCGGAATAAAGGGGACGCTGCGCCCTGGGGTGAGGCTGTGTCCCCGGGGCGGGGAGATCGCATGGGGACAGCCCCGTTCCCACCCGGGGAGTGCCGCGTGTGCCCCGGATTCTCTCGGCCCCAGGGAGGGAAGGCTGCGACCGGCGTTGAGACTGCGCCCGGGTCGGCCCCGCGTCCTCTCCCGAGGGCCCCGAGTCCGCGCGCGGTGCTCCGGGACGCGGGGCGGAGAGTGGGGGGCCCCGGGGAGGGCACGCCGCGTCCCGGGTTCAGCCGTGCGCTCCGGGGGTCCCGTGTCCGCGCGGGTGCTCTGCGCGGCGGGCGGCCGGGGGCGCGGAAGTTCTCGCGGGTGCTGGGCGTCTGGCGCGATCCGGAACAAACTGGGGCGGTTGGGGGGCCGAGGTGACTTCTGACGTGTCCACATCTGCAGTAGGAAAATTACCGGGTTGTGGACGGTCCGAGGGAAGGTGTCACATTGGGCTGCGGACGCTAAAACGTGTTGGAGTCCCTGTTTACGTGCCAGAGAATATAAAACGCGTCGGGCCCCGATTTATCTGTCTGCGACCCGCACCGTTGTTTGATTGGCAGCTAATGTTTTTACCAGCCGGTTTTGATTTTACTTATGATAAAGGCATTTCGTTTCCTTCTTTCACAGACCCTAATGGTTAGCGTTCCATTCTCCAAGCGTCGGAAAAGTAGCGTGATATCAAACTTGCTTCCTTATGCTCAGTGTTCTCCTTGAGATGACTGATCGGTGAGTTTTGGAAACAGAAACGCGTCTTCAGTCCTTTAGGTGCCCTCTGACACTTCCCCGCATAGGTTTACGCCTCTGAAAGGTGGCAGCCAGAGCTGCATTTTCCGAAACACTGGGCTGTCTCAAGGACAGTGCCCGGCCAGTGTCTTTGATTACCTTCTTTTCTTGGGGCTGAGGCTACTCTTCCCTCTCCTCGCTGGGGATTTCCGGGGGACAGGGAGAAGGAAAAAATGGGGAGAGGTTGGTGGTACTGCTCTGCCTTGGCCGACAGTGAGCTACGCCCGGGTGCAGCGTTCCTCTGGAGGGCAGGGGCCTCTCCCGCGGGCACCCGCAGCAGGGGCCTGTCGAGTGGTTGATGAGACACGCCGAGCTGGGTGCCCCATCCTGCCCGGGTGGAGGCGAGGGCCTGGCTGGGCTTCGGAAGGAATGCGTTGCCTGTGAGTAATGCCTGTTACGTGGCCGAGGGGCCTCAAACTCCGTATGCTCAGCCACATCTTCACCACGCGAAGCTGTAGCTGGAAGGGAGAAAGGCCTTTCTGCATGGGGCAGTGATGAAGAAGCAAAGCGGTCCCGCTCCGAGAGGTCGATGGCACGGAGCCTGAGGTGCCGTGTGCTCGTGAAGTCAGAGCTGGGAGGTGACGGGGCACTCGGCAAATAACTGCGTCAGCTGAACCCCCTGGCCCTTGGCGAGTTCACCTGGTGTAATAGCATTTCCGCTGCTTTTCGATTTGGGGAATAAGAAAATTCTTTAAGCCTGAATTTGTCTGGTGAGTGAGTGAGTAGAGCAAACTGGATTTATCTGGTAAACACTTATTCATGGCCCGCTTCGTGCTAGGCCCACCTTGTATTAGACCCCAGGGAACACCGTGCTGAACAAGATAGATCAAAAAAGTTCAAAAACTGGCAGATTGTTTTATTAATCACTTTTGTGGTATTCTATTTTTTTAATAAAGTTTATAATTTTAGTTATGAATTTCTAAAAATTAAAGTGCATAGCATTAATGTTTTTATTTATGGACAGACATATAAGCATGCACACAGTACTTGCAAAAATCACAAAAAGATGAGAAAAGCTGCTTCGTCTCCATCCCAGGCCCTCAGTCCCCTTCAGCTGCGGTGACCGGCTGGCTGCGGACTCTGTGCGGCAGAGTCCATACACAGTCGTGCATAGGTTTTGATGATCTTTTTAGTATTTGCCAGGAGAAGCAGTGCGGCAGGGAACACTGCCACACAGGGGCACAAGCGAAACCTGCCAGTCGCCTTTTCCTGGTCGTCAGAATCCTCAGCCGGAGGGCTTGTAGGGAGCAGGGCTTCATTCGGTGATGAGCGGGGTCAGCCCATGGGACGGGGCACCTGGCTTAGGTAGGAGATTACTGGGGGAAGTTATCGCTTATCGGCCTATTCAAAACTCGTTTAAGAAAAATTATTGGTCTCATCATGAAACCGAAAAGCTTAGAGAGGTCCAGTTTGATTGGGAAAGTTGTTTTTTTTTAGTGTCAGTTTTCTAAAGTGTGAATTTCCAAATCTATAATTTGGTGATAGAAGTGGCAGTGTTAAACAAACAAACAAACAAACAAACTTTAAAAACATGTTCATAACGTGAGGTAGGAAAGGCCGAAGCTGAGAATCACAAAGTGCGCATCAGAGCCATTAAGATTCCCTTGTTCCCTGAGGGACTTTCTGTGCAACACGCGTGTCATTTGGGAGCGCGGAGAGGGCACAGGGAACCAGCGTCCTGCAGAGAGCAGTGGCCGGGCCCAGAGGTTAGCATCAAACTGTCCCCTCTGTGCTGAGGTGGTCCTGCTGGCTGCTGCCCACCTGTACGTGCGTGAGGTGTCCGGGAGCCTGCAGGAAACCCGGGCTGGCTTGTGAACGACGCACGTGAAGCCGGGCCGGGCGGGAGGGGCTCCCAGGTGCCTGGATCTCTCTCGCGCACGGCACACGGCGGACTGTGCTTCCCTCTCCGCCATCCGTGACCGTGACCGTGACCGCTTCACTGACAGGCCGCCCAGGTAGTTGCTGGCGGGAGCTGCCTGCCCTCCTGCGGCTCCCCTTAAGGGAGGAGGGGACATTAAGCCCCACCTGAAGTCCCAGGTGCCTGGGTCTGGGCAGCGGGGAGCTCAATGGAGGGAGGGAGCTGGGTGCTGCTTGGCAGCCACGTGCAGGCGCCTGGGACTCTGGGCCCTGAGCTCTTGTTGGTGCTGGTGACAGCAGGGAGGCCGGTGACAAGAAGGTGAGGTGGGGAGGCAGCCGACCTCCCTCCCGACCTGTGTTGGGGAGCCTGTGCCTTCCCGCGAAGCTCCCTGTGGACAGAGACTCCGGCTGTTCCGCAGCTTAGGTTCCTTCAGAGCTCGGAGCTCATGACATGCCGGAGCTCGTGACATGCCGGCCGCATAAATGCTGTATGTGTGTTAATTAAATTTTCACAGCAGTCCAGCAGGTAGCTATTCTTATCCATCGTCCATGGGTAAAACACCAGGCCCAGAGAGGCCACAGGCAGCGGCCGAGGCGGGGCCGGCGGAGCACCTGGCCCTGTGGCAGGGCGCATAGTGACCACGCGCGGCCTCAGACCAGGCAGAGGTGGCTTGGTCCCGGTGCTGCGTGTCCTCACACGTAAGGTGCCATTGTTTGTAAGCTGCAGCGTGATTTCAGTTGCAGTGCTGTTATTCACAGGGAGAAGTTGCCAATTAGACGGTGACACATGCTTTCCTGTCACCTCCTTTTACCTGTACTCACTGAAGGCACAGACGACAAAATCAGACCACCCTGGTGCTTTCATGAAAAAAGAAAATGTGAGTGAGATAAAGTAATTCTCAGGTGTCTTCACGTTTAGAACCCGACCCTGCCACGTCAGCCTTTGACGTGGTGCCATGCCCCTCCATGGCGTTGTCCCCCGTGCTGTCACCAAGTGTGACTGAGACCCAGCACTGCCGTCTCCTGGCTGCCGCCCACCCTGGTCTGCAGGCCTGGACGCTTCCTTGCTTGCACTGCAGGCGTTGAGGGGTTTCGGATCCTTCAGAGATTTGCTGACCGGCCTGCTGGCACTACGTGCCCTGTCATGCCACCAGGAGAGATGGCCGAATTTGAGTGTGCCCGAGCGCGAGCGGCGGTGCCCACGGCGGCTGACAGCCCGTGCGACACCTCCAGTGCCAGGGATGCCAGCTTCGCGGCGTGCGTGCCCGAGCACTGATGGACTGTGCCTTGTTTGCAGGCAGCCCTGTCAGGGTTGCCAACAGACTGTGAGATAGAACATTCTGGAAGGACCCCAGGGCTGTTGGCGGAGCTGGTGGAGATGCACCTGTGAGGCGGTTCCCGGCAGGTCCCTGCAGACCAGACCTGCCGTGTGCGGTGGGGTCCCTGTCCCAGCGCGTCCCGGATGCGTGGCCGTCACCCAGGCTGTGTGACCTGTGCTTTGCCGTTCTCAGCCGCGGCCCAGGGAGAGACGTGGCCTCTCGCCTCCCGGGGCTGCTGGGCGGGTAAGCGGTGCCCTGTCAAGTGCCTCAAGTGGTGGCTAACAGGACTCGAGAGGGTTTACTCTGCTTGTTGTTTCCGTGATCCGTCACCCGAGTGCAGATGTTTGGATAACGCCAGGCACATGAACTTGGGAGTCATTTGCTCAGGGCTGGTTTGGAAACCAGAGCCGGGGCAGCGAGTGTCACACAGAGGGGGCGTGAGGAGCCTGGGCTTTTGGCCAGGGGCCCCGCAGGAGGGGTCTGAGACACCCATCGAAAGGGCCTGCTGCAGGAGGACACCTGGACGGGCTAGTGGCCCGGGGCCCAGGCCAAGGGTGGTCAGTTCCGGCTCATTCTGCCAGGGCCTCCTGGCTTTCACGAGGGGCAGGTGGCCTTGTGGGGAGGGGCGGGAGAGAGGAGGGGAGAACCCCAGTATAGGGGACCTGGGAGTTACGTTAGGAGGGCCCGGAGTGCAGGGATGAAGCTGGAGGGGTGGTGGCCCAGTGGGGATACCTTGGAAGGAGGGGAGCATGGCGTGCTTGGGGCTGACAGGAGGGGAGGCCATGGGGCACCCGCTCACAGGGCGTCGGCAAAGGCGACAGCTGCAGAGCGAAGCCCCGTGTGTGGGGCGCGTGGCGGGGAGCCGGGTGCAGCCAGGAGCTGGGCAGCATGGCAACGGGGCGCCTGGTCCTGTGCAGGGCGTTTCTGGGGCCACCTCCCAGGGAGCATGGGAGGGAGGGACGTGTGCTGAGTCGTCCCCGCGCCAGGCCCGGGTTCTGGTCTCGTGGGCTTGCGGAGCGGAACACTCCTGGATACCTCGCAGGCAGGTGCATGTGCAAACGGTGTTTTCTTCATTAAAACTCACAAGCCCCTCAAAGTGCCATTAACTTAACTGGAAAGTGGCGCCTTCACCCCCCAGATTCAGTGGCATCGGGACCAGTGGGACTGGACTGCCAGTCTGCACTTAGTGTGTCTCGAAGTGCAGGGTGGGGAAGGGGGGCGAGATGGTGTGGTGCGTCCAGGCCGAGGGCCGCCTCGTGGGGCTGGTGGCCTCAGCGCCCGGGGCCGCGGCCTGCGTGCACGCCGCCTGTGGGGACGGTGACGTGTGCCCCGTGTGTCAGCCCGCAGCGCGTGCCCACTTGAGCTTGAGCTCTGCTTCGGGCAGGACGGTCCTCCCAGGTCCGCTCCATGGGGTCAGGCGTAGACGCTCTTGCTTCTCCTCGCCTCGGGGCGCGGTCCGGCAGGTGGGACAGCCGGGCGCACTGTCCCTTCACTCTCGCCCCCGTGGACAGCTTTCGCGGAGTGCCTCCTCTGCACGTCACTGTGGAAGGACACGGGGAGGAGGTGGCCTCCGCCTCTGTGAGCTAAGCCCCCGGCGGGAAGCTGGGCCCACGCAGGCTGATGCCTCCCCGTTCGGCTGTCATAGGCGAGTCAGGGGAAGGGCACTCTTGCCGCGGCCCGCACTCCGCAGGGCTGTGCAGTGGGGTGCTGTGCCGAGGCCCGGGGGCCAGGGCGAGCTCCTCAGGCAGGAGCGGGCTGGGCCCTGCT